GAATGGTGGGCGGGTTGCAGGTGGGAAGCGGCCGTTCGAGTACGGGAGGACGCATGTGGTGAGGCCCAAGGGCGCGCACAAGGCCACCATCGTCTGGCTCCACGGCCTCGGCGACAATGGAGCCAGGTACGCAACAAACCCTTCTTTTGGCCCTTCCGGGTCGCAGCTCCGCTTGTTGGGATTGATGCGTTCACGGATTCAACGATGATGGACGGACGACCTGTCTGTTCGTCCTGCATTCTTGATGAATCGTAGTCGTAGGATCTCCTGTATATTTTCCATGTCTCTCAGCCAACTGTACTGTAGAACGCTGTACGTGAGACATCTCACTCTCGTACTGTTTATATGATAGCGCTTTGTTGAAATTAATTTCCTGCCCAATAAGCATGTGTGCGGATGATACCGACCTCCTGAGTCATCTGATTGGGCGAATAGACATTTTTTGCGACATTTTTTATGATCCGTGCTATAATACGTTCATTACATACGCTTCTTTGCACATAAAAAAATCGTTGCATTATTATTGGCAAGAAAGGTATTTCTGTGCTATCATGGTTTTAAGGAAATTGCATTATGCTCAAAATTATTCAACGTAATGCAAAACTAGAAGTTATTTTTGGAGACCGATAGACATAATGGGTTTTATATTATATTTGCAGCTGGTCTCAACTGTTGGAAACTCTTCCCCTTCCTAATGTAAGTTAGGAACTAGATTTTAACTTTCAAGTATGTGTCCTGTCAGAAGTCTTTCTGATTCTCTGATTTGCTACTGCTTCAGATAAAATGGATTTGCCCAACTGCACCTACGAGGCCTGTGGCAATTTTTGGTGGATTCCCATCTACTGCATGTATGTTCTGAAACATATGGATTTTCTTATTTATGTCTTGGATGTATTGTGCTAACTCCTTTTGTAATAGCTATTTGTTTTGATAGATGTGTGCTGATATGGTTTTGCCTTTTTCCGGGATCACAGGGTTTGATGTTGCTGATCTTTCAGAAGATTCTCCTGATGATGTTGAGGGGCTGGATTCCTCAGCTGCACATGTTGCAAATTTATTGTCTACCGAACCTGCAGACAGTATGATTTCATGCCAGTTTCCGTTTGTCTACTTTCTTCAAACCCATTCTTATCAAGCGCACAACAGATATGGAATGGCATTCCTTGTTATTATCTGTTTCTCTATTGTGTTGCGGGCAATTTTTTTATTTTTTACATTTCTAGCCAAGAACCAAGCTATTTTGGTCTCATATATTGATAATCCAGTAGAATGGACTCCGCTGGGTCTTGTTCATCACTAAAAGTTTTGACCTCGTTACATTAATCATCGCAGTCAAGCTTGGCGTTGGTGGCTTTAGTATGGGTGCTGCTACTGCGCTTTACTCTGGTACTTGCTTTGCTCATGGAAAATATGGAAATGGCAATCCATACCCTGTGAACCTAAGTGTGGCTGTTGGTCTCAGTGGCTGGCTCCCATGTGCCAGGTTTGTGCTAGTATGTTTATGTGCACAAGTTTCACTGAAGCTGCTTCCTTGCGGCTGATCCACTTTGTGCTGTGTGGTCACCTCAGGTCATTGAAGAACAAAATTGAGAGCTCACAGGAGGCTGCACAGAAGGCTTCATCATTACCCCTTATGCTTTGTCATGGAAAAGGTGCATATCTTTAGCATGATTTTCAGTTTTTTGCGTAATACTGAAATAAGCACCTTATCATTAATGATGGCATTCAGCACACTGTATTTCCCCAAGATGCGCATGTAACAGTCCGTCCTTCTTCTGGAGCTAGTGACCTGTGTGCTTCAAACCAGAAACATCTTTCTTATGTTTATGAAACATTTAGAACGGTTGTAGGTTTGTAGCTACACACTTGTATTACCTGAAGTTGCTTCTTCGCAGCATATATAACAGAACTGAGTTGCTTATCAAGTATATGGGCAGTTCCTTTCCCCTTTTAACCTGGATTCAAACAATAGTTTCACCAGAAAGGATTTTTGCTCTGTTTTTTCGTTGCCTAAGCAGCTCAGCTTGATAGTGTCTGGCTCTTAGTAACCAAGTTGATGTAATTTCCATGTGGCATTCCTCACAAGGTTAGTTACGATGATCAGCTATGCTAATTGCAAATTTTGATGGAAAAACTGTGATAAGCAAATTTGTTATATAATAAATTGATGCATGCCTCAAGTTTTCATGGGCATGAACAGAACACGAGTTAGCAGAACATATAGGTCTTTGGACCAGGTGTCTTGATAACGGTCATCTGCTTTCATGATGCATCAGCACTGCATTACTTGTTCTGAGTCCTCTATTTATGTTTAGTTATGCAGAGGCCATCTGTAAATTGCGACTTTTATCATCTTTTTGCAGCTGATGATGTGGTCCTCTACAAACATGGAGAGAGATCTGCTGATGCACTTAAGTCAACCGGGTTTGCAAATGTGGAATTCAAGTCCTACAGCAGGTTTGCTACCTTCTTTACTCCCATTGAATGTTGTGATTTCCTTGTGCTGATTGATCTCCTCTCCTTGGAAGACTCGGGCACTATACCGTTCCAGAGGAGATGGACGAAGTCGTCAAGTGGCTTACGGCAAGCTTGGAACTCGGCAGTTCCTCGTCAACTTGATCGAATGAAGAGATGCCTTGAGAAAGGCTCGGTGTGGCGGCATCTAAATAATAAGTACCTGTGGTTGTGCCGAATTGAGTGATAAAATGGCTGGGTTGCCAACTTGGGCTTTGGGTATACGGTTATGTCTTAGCTTGGCGTTTCATATGCAGACATGCCTCGCTGAATCTTGTTACTATTGAGATTTCCATATATTTGGTATGTGTTTCCATCCATAGTCGGAGACATTGTGATCAGTTTGGTTTTGGTTACCAGTGATATTTTTGTTTCAATGTGTTCTATCCTTTTTCCTACTGAACTGATTATTTTACTTGTGAACGAACCAAAACAGCACCGAGATCTCACACGTGCTTAATGAGACATATATATGTATTGTAAAGGGAAGTTTCATTCACAAGATATGACAGTTTGCATTGTTGTTAGAGAAAAACAAACATTCATAAGATAGACAAGTTGCATTGTTGATAGCAAACCCAGAAGGAGGGTTACATAGCAGAGAGTCGAAGTTACAGTGCAACAAGAAACACTACTATGTCCTTCGAGCTTCATAAGGAGTTGTTTGGGGCCATTGGAAAAGGAGGGTCCTGGTTCAGTTTTCACATTTCAAGTTTCAACTTTTTTCTCTAAATATTTTGTGGATGACATTTGCAGAACAAATTGCATTTACATGCTGTTTCGTTATCTTTTTGAGACTCAGTTGTTGGAGATGCTTCTCTTTTTCTTACAGTCTATTTAGATTCTTTTGTGGATGATACAACCTTATATATTTTTGGCACAGATTTTGAGTGTTATACTAGATCCAACAATATGTACCCATAAATTGTTTTCAGGATTTAACATTTGCCAGTTTTCCTTTCTTCTCTCGCGAAAAGAGAGGCGGCAGGGTAGTTCCTCCAACCCGCCCGCTCCCCGTCGACAGGTTCGTGTGTCCCCTCCTCCTAGTTGGCCGTGTCGGTGATGTGGATAGGGTCGTAGGGTTAGGTTTAGCTTTCTTGCGGCGGCGCGGTGATGGCGATGCCGGTGTTGAGAAGAATAAGTTTCTCCTGGCTCCTTGTCCACCTCGCCGAAGGCGGTTTCATCGTCGGCGCTGAGGAGCGCAAGGCATTGTGTGGTCGCCGGTCTTCGGATTGGTGGATCTAGGCGTAGGAGTGGTTCGTGATCCTGTGCAGGTTTCTTCAACGGTGGATCTAGGCGTAGGAGTGGTTCGTGATCATGTGCAGGTTTCTTCAACAGCGACGACGACGGCGGTGCCGAGAAGAATAAGTTTCCCCTGGCTCCTTGTCCACCTCGCCCTCCCCGGAGGAGGTTTCATCATCGACGTTGAGGAGCGCAAGGCGTTGTGTGGGCGCCGGTCTTCGTATCGCTGGATCTAGGCGTAGGCGTGGTTCGTGATCCTGGTTTATTCAACGGCGACGACGACAATGGCGGCGGCTCTACCTGTGCGCCGGTCCTTCAGGGCCGTAGATCGGAGTGGCCGGCTTCAAGTGCGACGCGGTGGCGGCGGCTCGTTTTGGTGGATAAATTTGTTTGGTGCTCTATGGACTGGAATATAATTTCTAGTTTGTTTGGGTCCTTTGTATTGTTGATGATCCTTTATAATGGATCTAGGGGCCTTTTTACAAAAATTAAATTGCTTTTAGAATTTTTAAAAATTATCACCTGGCTGTTTTGATTATTCCAAACAACCCAAAATCCGCCCTTGACATAGTTGTCACTACCTTGCTCTTCGATTTGGGCAGGTTTTATGCTGTAAGTTTATACAAGCAAGATGCATTACACAGGTAAGTTCTGTATTCAGACAATGCAACACCACAAGCCTTGAATCGATGGTACGCTCACGGTGGAAACGGATGATTATACAAACAAAATTAACTTTGCAGAATAGAAAAGCAGCATAAATAACTACCCCACAAGCCTTTGAATCGATGGTGCGCTCGCGGTGGAAACAGGTGATTACACAAACAAAATTAACTTCGCGGAATAGAAAAGCAGCCTAAAGTACAAAGTAACTTGTTTCAAAAAAAAGTACAAAGTAACAGCCTAACCATTTATTACTGCAACGCAAACGGAGCCCAAAGTACAGAATCCAAACGAAATCACCTGACTATTACAACGTACAAAAAACAGAGTATTGAAAAAGTGGCATTTATTTGTCATGAAGCGAAAACTTGGATGCTCTTGGAACCGAGAGATTTCCATCATGGCTGGCAACACGACGATGAAAATCCTGCGTCAAAACAACAGAACACCGCAGGAAGAGCGTCGAGTAAAAGAGTACTCAGAGAGGAAGCATCCATCTCCATGCAAATGCTAACAACTGTAGCTTGTTTCACTGGGCACTGTCTTGCTCGCCCTTTTGTGCGGAATCACCAAGTAAATCCTTAAGTTCCCCTTTCTGAAGAAAATTTAGAGAATAAGTCAACCACCAAGTGAAAGATACCAGCTGGATACACATGCTGAATGAAATAGTGATGATCCGTTCACTTGCCTGGTGCATGCTTAATATGATGTCAGAGCCCCCAACGAACTCCCCGTTGATAAATATTTGCGGAAAGGTAGGCCAGTTACTGCACAAACAAACAGTAGCTTTAATAATGATACCATCAGGAGATACATAATTTGTAAACCCCGGCAGCTTAGCAACAGGTGTTAAATTATCCATTTGTCATTTCCGCCATGATGCATATGAATGAAACTGAATAAAATTGGAACTCTGAAAGTTGAACATTAAGTAGAACTCTCCAATGTTGTAATCAAGGGCACACAACATGTTTTCGACGAATCTGTTCCAAGTAAAGCCTCCAGCTAAATCAAAATCATATTCTGTATGTTTTATCATCTGTTGTTGAAGCTAAATCTTAACCCATAGTAAAATATTTTCTTTACCACATCATCCCATACCCTATTCCCATGGCTAGTTCCTTTTTTTTTTTCCTTTTTGAGACAATTGTCTTCCATCTAAAACTGAAAGTACAACATCAGGGAGGTTATGACGAGCAACTTACGAGTAAGCTTTGACACTCTCCTTGAGCTTCATATTACTCAGAATATCTCTGGCAGTGATAGAGACGCCTGCAATAGACAAGATATGATTTAGGGATTTCAGGGGCACAATTGACTGAGAGCTGGTTCTGAGATATAGCTTACCATATTGCTGGAGGACCTTAACTGCCAGTGCACTAAATCCACACCTGGGAGCTTCAGGATAACCCTTCATGAAGATAACGACTGGATTCTCCTTGATATCCTGGCAAAGATTTCATCAAGGAAATTAATTAACAGCAGAAGAATATGACACAACATTAAGCTTTACAATTTTCATGCCATGCGTATTTTTGTTACATTTCAAGAGATTGAATATAAATGTTCTGAAGCTCATGTGTGCATATAAATACCTGAGCAACGATGTCTTGCAAAGACATGTCAGAACCTTTGCTTGTAGGCTGGAAATCTTGATGTGTATCAGTATCAGCGGTTACTCGTGTTGCACTTGTGCCGCCATTCACGTTAGAATCACCACTGATTCCTGATGAGTAGTTCATGAACTGTTGGAAAGCTGGTCGTGACACGGTCTGCTTTTCCAGTTATCATGCAAAACAAGGTCATTGTGCAAACATGAGATCAAAATCAAAACAGAAACAATCTGATTTTGCTTGACAAAAGCTGATAGTGCAACATTGGTTGGTTCTTTGATAAACTGGAAGCAAAATAAAGCTTGAAAATACTATAGTGTAAGCACAGAGCAAAAAGGACAATTGATGCCCAGAAGCTAACGAGAAAACCTCAACTGTGATAACATTGCAAGTCTAAGCTGAAACTAACCATGTAACCTTCTTTAAATCTCATAGACACTGTTCCATTTAAAATGAAACCAAACAACCACCAGTTTATAGCATTATAAGGCTCAGAGCCGGGAGGTGGCTCCAGCCTCACCGAAGCACTCTCCATGCAGGCGTACAGCATTAAACAGGTTGCATAAACATCCCATTTAAATGGAACACGTTTACAGGAAACCACTTGGTAGAGAACTATAGCATCCATAACATCCATTCAGACATAATAATGGCTGCCTTATAGCACAAATGGTCATGGCAAATGCTGAAATGAGCTCAACTCTACACATGTGGATTTTTGGTTAAAATATATGGGGCCACCGGAGTCTCATCTCTAGACATGATATGCTTTAAAAAAAGGTGAAAACCAGGGTCATCATGATAGCTCTTATCAAACAATCTCGTGATAGAGAGATGGTACAGATGAATGTAACATTAAATTTATGCAACTGTAAACGAGTGAACCGATTAGCTTACTAGGTCCCAATGAACCTGACAGCAATTTGGGGATTTTGGGGCTCGATCAGAGCTCGGACCAGTTGAGCGAAAATAAATCGGGAAAAGCTCAGAACTATGAACAGATGAAGGTGCCGGCACTTACCGCCGTGCTGGGCGCGCGGCACGACCGCGCGAGCCCCCTGAGGAGGGAAGACGACACCAGCCTCGCCATGTTCCCCTGCATCGACGGGTAAAACAGACAGGCAACCGCGATTTAGCAACAGGGACGGATCTAGATGCGCCCAGAAATTGGGGAGATCGGTAGGGTTTAACTAATCGGTGGATGAACGAAAGCTCATACCTCGAAACCCAGTGGAGAGAGATTGCGGACGG